AAGACTGCCGTAGGGTTCCCCGAGATTTCGATGTGCCGAGACTGGGAAGAGAGCTGCGAGAGCTGAAAAGGGTTGGGTGAGTGAGAGAGTGAATGGAATGGGAATTTATTGGGTACGATGCGAAAGTGCGTGCAGTAGTAGGTTGGCACTTGGGACCGGATGTGTGACGGCGGATGGAGGTTGCCTGGTAGCTTGATTGTTATCATTGTCGCATCGCTGATGTTGTCATTTGATGGTGTTGGATTTCCATGTCGCGTACGCCGTCCAACCAATATACCGGGAGTGTATTGGTAGGAAAGATACCGTATACGAGAGTATACACAACAACCCCGAGACGATGGTTCCCGGATGCGCTCAGCTCTGTGACGTTGAATTTGGTACGATAGTGTGTGATGTACGTAGTACGCACATGTGTATTATTGGAAACACCATAGGTACAGAGAGTACTGCGCAGGTATCCTGTCGTCACGCGTGGCACGAGGAGGCGACACGTTGGAACGGGGTTTACTCCAGGAACAATCGCGTTTAGGAGAGACGAACACGCGCCTTGGCTAAAGCGCTGCGCGACGACGCGCAAATGCCAAAAGGCGGTAGGAACTTCCGAACTACAGCAGCTCCGTATGATGTGGTCAACCCATTGCGCAATCAGGCAAGGTGCTAAAAATTTTGGGTTTGATGAACTAAAATTACAACAAATTTTTGGAAGATGAAATAGGGGAAATTTCAGGAACACACACGCACACACGCACACTTACACCACCCTGCCGTGCCTGCCCCGGGGAACGTCAAGACCAAAGAAATGTGGAAACCCTAGAGCGCAAAGAAGAAAAAGGGGGTGGTGTGAGCTCAGGCTGTTTTTGTCGTGTTAGAGCTGACTGCGTTTCCGTTTGTAACTCTGTACAGGCATCGGCCGGGGGGAGGGGGGGTGATATGTGAGTTCGTACGGCGCTAATGCAGCGGCGGCGTCCCGGGAACCAAAGCGCTGGGACCTTCTTCTTCTTCTTCTTTTTCCCCTTTTCGCTGCTGTTCGGGAGTGGCCCGCGGTGGGCCGGAGGGAGGATGAAACGGGCCTATCATTGACCGAAATTCGCGCTAAATCCCTTTCGAGCTTCTCGGTGGGGTATCCACTTTCTTTTTGGACGCAAGAAAGCTGAGCCGTCGGTGAACTCCAGGTGAGAGGAAAGGGACGAACGGCCCCACACACACATATGCACACCGGCACACACCTTTGACTCGTAAGGTGAAGGAGCACCTACCTGAGGAGGTACCTCAGCTCCGACCCGACGCGGAAAGAGAGGGTTGCAGAGAACATGCAGCTAAACTGCGCGACCTGCAGAAGGTGCTGACCTATTCCGGTAGTTGCAATGCAGGGAAGGAAAGGGGAGAACGTTTTGTTTCTTCTTTCTTGTGAGACACTCAATGGGGCTAATTGTCGATCTCCTTTTTTGGCTTTCACATCGACAAAATTTCCAAAATTGGTCTCGATTTGACTCGAGAATTGTCTGTCTGCTTGCTTCCCCTGCATCGTCAATCACCAATGAGTCAATAACACCCATCTTGCATACAAACGCCAGATTGACAACCCGCATTGATTGTGCTCCTTGAGCTACTCGAAAAGGGGCCTGGCATCACACCAGATGTCTCCATCGCGCTGGTTGGACGCTGACTTGCTGTTATTGTGACAACTGACGGGGCACCGCAAACCAACAATCCTATCATTCAAGTACCAACTGTACACTAGTATATGCCAACAACTAGCCATCAAACAGCTTCCAACGGCCCAATGTCAATAACAACCAACAGACATACACCCGCATATGGAGCAAACACGCCCACGCTGCGTCTGGTTTTCCACCAACGAGATGGTTCATCCCATCCCCCCAGTCTCTCATTGGCCATCTGCAAGGCGCGAGATTGAACCACTCACACACACCAATGACAATTGGAAGGCAAACCTCCTCTACGGATACAAAGTACACACCACGTTGTCCGTACCGGCAATTTGGGACACGAACTCGGGTTTGGTGGGCTACATTGTCATTGCTGCAGCTTTCCCCCTTCCCCGGGTTATCAAATATGGGTATCTCTACGACGTCCCGGATATGCCTCCCGGGCCAAACGGATCACTACGGTGCTACCCGTACGGCGCGCACATAATAGCCGTTTATCAGCTGCCGAGTCATCGACAGATCTTCGTCCGCTTGCCTGTCCTGTCTCTTCGGCGCTTCTCGGCCGTAGCCGAAGAATGGCTGTGATTGCGCTGTGCTGCGTTGCTGCGCATCCAGATCCGCCGTGGGTACTCCGTACGGAGTATGCGCAACTGTTTTTCAAATTCGAAGCGCATGGCAATTGCATAGGAAACAAGACGCATAGCAACGACAGCGGCCCCTCATACCCATTTCCGGACACCGTGGGCCACGCCTCAGCTCACCGAGCCCTCATCATCACGCGGCAGACACACCACCCAACTGAGTACACGCCACATCGTGAACGAAACGGCCCAGCACGATGAGACAGCGTGAATCACTCCTCTTTGCACCCCCTCTAACCCAGGAAGGAGAAAAGAGCCTCGTCCGGTGTGCCAGTCTCCCGGCTCGGTTCGGTTTGGACATCCCACGCGTGCAACATCCCACGTCTGGCTTTGGTCTACGCCTTGCGAAACGGGGAGAAAGGGGGAGGGGGCCGAGGAGGCGCAGATGAGCGGGGGGCGCATATCGATGCATGCCCTTCGGAAAATGCGACGTCTCGACCGAGTAGTCGGGTCCCTTTACGCCTCTTTTTTCTGTCTCGCCGATACCTGACTCCGCGATGTCTTTGGAGACGACTGGATAGCGAAACCCCCACCCCGCCGTCCCCTTTGCCTTCGTCACCGAGAGGTGAGTAAGATGGGGCAGAGGTAGGTACCTTCTTCTGAGGGGGGTCAGGATATTTCGACAAGCAGAGATCATCCTTCCAACGTTTCATCCCATATTTCTCTCCAACAACCGCTTCTGCGCCGCCCAGGCCTCAAGGCTGTCCGGGACATCAACTCCCTCACCGATGCGATATACAGTACTCCCTTCCCCGTGCCCGGCTTCCCTGCGCGTCGTCCCCAACCTCTGGAAAAATTTCTTCCCCATGCCTTTTATCCTTACAAGGGCTTGTTCTTCCAGAAGTTCCTTTTGATGGAGACGCAAGGCGTGATGATGAGGGTCCAATTCGGTGAGCGAAAGCCCTGGCCCTGTATGATAGACCGCCTGACCACAAAGCCTGGAACTCCTTGGGGGGGGGGGGGGGGACGGGGCTCCGGGAGAAGCAGAAGATATCACGGGGAGCCAAGACGAGTGGCAAGGTTCTGCATATCTCAAACTGCCAAATTTCCCGGGGCCACGGTTTGGGATTCTTTTTTCTGGTTTGCTCACTTCTTCCCAGGTTCAAGGAAGCCGATCAGAGAGGCTCCGCCGACAAAAGGGCCCCGCAACAAACGGGCAGCCGTTGCCAAAAATCGCCATTTCTCTCGTCTCTCTTCCCTCTCCCCACCATGCCATGCGGACACTGTAGCCGGGGCATGGCCCCCGGATCCCCGGAGGCATTATTTGAAAGGTCCCAAGGGCTGCCGACAGGGGAGGAAAATGGAAGAAGCAAAGAAGGAGGAAGAAGGTCCCTCTTTTTCCTTCTTCACCCAACACACACCCCCAAACCGTCATCGGATCCCTGGCCAAGTCTTCATCCAGTGGGAAACATTACCGTCAGTATGCTCCATCTCCACCGGTATCCATCTTGCATGGATCACGCATGGATACCCATGGATGGAATGGCACGGTGACTTGGACGAACCCAACGGAGCCACGTACTGAGGTACCTACGCCGTACGGATACGCCCTCCCAAATTCCCTCCCCCCGGGCAGCTGAGGATAACTGAAGCAGGCGGATCTCGTTTCCTGCCTTTCTTAATTTTACCACGTTATTTCGAATTTCAGATTTTCCTTCTAGCGCGTCCCTCTTTTTTCTTCTTCACCTTCTCTCTCTCTCTCTCGCTCGCTCTCGTGGGGCCGACACAGTAACCCTTGCTAACGTTCAATGGGCCCAAATCGCGTGTCCGGGCAAAATTAACCCAAACCACGGGTCCAGCTCCGGCGCGAGGAGAATGCTCATTGCTCACTTTCACAGTCTACCCACCACCCCTGAGTTTCTTGACCGAAACTCCCCATGCGCAGTAGTTACGACACGAGCAAAGCCCGGCCTGGATCAGCAGTGCAGCACCAGGAAACGGGGAGCGGGCAGGCACACCGACAGACAGACACACCAACCCCCAGTTCCAAAACCGTTGGGTCTTCTCTTCTTCCTTGGCCCTAGTGTGTATCCGTACGCTACTCATAGGCAATCCGGATTACGCTATCCGGCCGGGGCTCTCGCCCCCATCGCTGAGGAGTCAAATGCTATGTACATACAAAAATGCAAAGGGCTGGGACGGATCCAACTCAAGCCGCCGACGGCTCGTCCTTCCCCTTCTTCCCCCCGGTGAGCTAAGGGTATTGGCGATGTGGGCAAACCCCGCTAGAAAGGCCAAGCGTCCAGATTACCACAGTACCGACCGTAGTGGACGGATACTCTGTACTCTCTGTACAGATACAGGGAAACACAATTCATCCTGGGATGTTGACTCACCGGGTCACCGGGGAACGTGGGCGTTTGGATTCTTGGGAAATTGGGCCTTTCGGTCTGCCAACTGCCGGTGGCATGCAACCGATCCTCCCAGCCCGTCAAGGGACCCGGTCTGGCCTCTGCCGTAGGTTGGCTGTTTCGCTGGAACCGGGCTCCATATCGATTCAGAACATCATATCTCCCAAGGGAGATTGTTGTCTCGGTGAGGGTCTCACCGGGGTGGGTTTGTCTTTCTCTTCTCTTTCTTTCTCATCTTTCCACCCTGCGAAACACGGGCCCTGTCTTGCTTGTGGAGGTCAAGGTAACCTTTGCGGTCTCTCGTGCCAAAGTGTGTATGTACGGATACTCCCATACAGCGCAGGACCTCTTTTTTGAATTTTTCCACACACTAATCTCCATTGATCATTTCGACCGGCGGCGCCCCCAATCTATGGAACATTGCGGCTACGCTTCTAGAATATCCACAGACGCGCCGAGTGGTTGGGACGCTCATCCCTGCAGCATTCCCTTCCCACAAAGAGCCTCAAGCCCTCAAGGACCTGCACCGCGGTGTTACCGACAGTCGGGGACTCAGGGCTCGTCTCGTCTCGCCCGTACCGGTTACCCGTGCTTCTTTTTCTCTCCCTCCCGCCTCTCCCCGGCGGCGAGGCTTGCTAGACTCCCCCTCCCTTCTCCCGAGACCCGCGGCCCTCTCCATACCGGTCTGTACTGTAATACCTTTATCTGTACTGCGTACTCCGTACGTACGGAGCACGAGTAACTCTACGGATACACCTGCGATCCCAGCTTTGACCCTGCTTTCCGGGAATGTGACAGCTCACACGCCCACCCCCAAGGAGGACCTTCAGAATTCAGGGTACACATCGCTGCTCTCAGGTCATCAGCTAAACCATCCCGCTGGTACACGATGGGAGAGGGGCCCGGCATCCTAGGTGACGGGGGGATATGGATATGCCCATTGCCCAGAGAGAAGAAATGACAGCACCTCCAGGGGAGGGGTTAGGGACAAGGGGCGTGTCATTCACATGGTGAAAATTTTGAGCCTCAAGTGGGCGTGTAAGAGATGGAGGTCGGTGTGAGTAAGAGGATGGAGACGAGGAAAAAAGGAATGATGACGTGAAAGAGAGAGAAAGGAAAGGAAAAGGGAAGAAACACAACTCACGTCCGTCTGGCCAACGGCATACCCTCCCTGACTTTAGCCCACTCGTCCAAATCCACATCGACAAAGCCAATGGCCCCCTCGGCGCCCTCCTCGGCCCTGCCATCGGCGTCCACGCCGCCCAGCTCCAGCTTGACCCGGCCCCAGGGGTCGACGACCATGCTGTGCCCGTAGCTGCTCCGCTTCGGGTTGTGCGCGCCCACCTGGGCCGCGGCGACGACCCAGCTCTGCGTCTCGATGGCGCGGGCCCGGAGGAGGGTCTCCCAGTGCGCCTGGCCCGTCCGGATGGTGAAGGCGGAGGGGTAGAGGAGGATCTGGGCGGGGCCGTGGCCGCCGTTGTTGTCGGGGAGAAAGGGGCTCTTGGGTCCCGGGTGCGTCAGGGCGAGGGCCGGTTCGGGGAAGCGGAGGTCGAAGCAGATGAGGCTGCCGGCGCGGCCGACCGGGGTGGGGAACGGGGCCGTGAGGGAGGGGCCGGCTTGGACTGTCGCGCTTTCTCGGAGGGCGCCGTAGTCGAAGAGGTGGAGCTTGTCGTAGGTCGCGGCTTGGAATATGGTGCCGTCTGCGTTGATCCAGAGGCTACGGTTGAGGAGCTTTGGAGTGGTGGTGGTGGTGGTGGTGGCGGCGTCTACGGCCGGCTTCTGGGCGTCTGATGCGGGGACGTGGATGCCGACGTTCACGGCGACGGAGTGGGTCTTTGCTGCTTCCTGGAGGCCGAGGACGAAGGGGGACTGAGACTGCGGTTGGGCTAGGGAGAGGGATTCTTGCGGGCTTGAGGCGATGTAATCTGCGGCTTCGGGGAGGAAGAGGACCTAGGAAGAACGCGGTGAGCTGTGTTGTTGGTGTTGGTGGTGGTGGTGTAGTGGGGTGGAAAGGAGGGCAGACATGAAGCCATTCTTGTGCTTCGAGCGACATTTGCACTGCAGGTCTCTCATCTGCAGCCAGCAGGATGGGTTTGCGGTGAGGGAGAGAGAGAGGAAAGGTAGCAAGACAAATGTCTTGATATCGACGCCCCCCTTTTCTTACGGATGGATTAGATGGAAACGTACTTTGGCACCACCGACAGCAGCCTTGGCGACGAGCCTCACGCACTGCTCTAGGTTGTGGGACAGAGAGGCCGTGGAACAGATTTGACCGACAGCCTGTTCACGCCGAAAGGAAGAGGGGACCGCATCAGTAAGTCATCTGCAGAGACACGTGGTCTTCTTTTGGGGGTGTGTTGGGCAGCCATACCGCGATCGCCATGTTGTTGAAGATACGGTGAGATGGATTTTTTTTGGGGGGAGGGATGTGTTTGGATGAGATACTCATGCAATGTAGGCGCGGGAATCTTGGGTAGGGGTTGGTCGTGTGGACTGATCTTGGAGAGAGGGAGGGAGAAAGTATGCTGGCCACGTGGCAGAGCAGATGAAGCCGTTCGGATGATTTTCCTGAGGATGAGGGGTGTGAAGGGTTGGCGATCTTTCATGCAAGCTATACTAGTTTCTTGGATGGGTTGGACGTCGGATGAGGAGTGGGAGAGGAGGCATCATTCGTTGCGTTGACGGGTGGGCCTGCTACCGCTTACCTTATCTGATGGTGGGATGCAGCGGGGTAAGGTAAGGTAAGGATGCTGCAATATTCAAGATGTCTCCCGTCATTTTCATGCTTGTTGATCTGATACACTCCTGACTGTTGATTCGACGATGGCGGAGAAGCACTTTCACAAATATACCTTTTCTTTCATATGAGGATAATGAACTCTTTGAATGATGATTTCCATTTTCTCCAGACACTTCGAAACACTCTGCGAGGCATGCATATATACGCCTCTGCTTAAGGCAGTTGAGGAAAAATGGACCTAGACATACTCCGCAACACCATTTAGTCATGAGAACTGAAAATATCTAGCTCGTGGAATGATTCCCTTGAGATGAGAGTGAGTTCTCAAGTGAGTTCTCAAGACTTGTGAGCTCACCGAAAGCCAGTGAGAATCCACATGTGAGCTATAGCCAATAGGCGTGAGGCCGTTTGGCCACCTCACTACCTGCATGTACCCTTTTAGCCCACGATCTTATCGTATCATTCTTCTAACTGAATTTTTCGCGGGGCAACAGCACCAGATCGCGGGGCAAACTCATCGAGACTCACTTACTCACGGTACGACGGACGGCCCTATACTAAAAGTAGTCTGCGTCTTATCTGATGATTTTTGGCTTCATATGAGAGCCCCCTTTCACAAAACATCAAATTCGCTGTGAAGCGCCCCCCCTACGTGAAGTGGAAGCCGAAGCAGAATAAGTGTCTCAGCCATGGAGGAAGATCGGGCGCAAACCGACTTGGGCATCGCCGCCGATATTGAAGAGGCTCATCGCCAGGAGGAGGCTGCGGCTCAACCAGTCCTGAAGCAACCAAAGAAGCGCTTCGTCGGAAGGAGGACAGCAGCCGAGACCGCGGCCAAAAATGGAGGTCCGAACGGGTCCATCGAGGACAGCAAGTCCATCCAAGGTGAGCACCCACGACGCCTCACATGAGAGGCAACAGCATACTCATTCTCATTCTCATCTCATAGTCGCACAACCTAAAAGAGGTCCACGCCTCCTGAACCAAGTACCCCCCGAGATCCTCAATGATCCGGCACTCAAGTCCGCCATCTCTATCCTCCCCTCCAACTACAGCTTCGAGATCCCCAAAACCATCCATCGCATCCGCTCCTCGGGCGCCAAGAAGGTCGCCCTGCAGATGCCCGAGGGTCTCCTCCTCTTCGCCACCACCATCTCCGACATCCTCACCGAGTTCTGCCCCGGCATCGAGACCCTCATCATGGGCGATGTCACCTACGGCGCCTGCTGCATCGACGACTACACCGCCCGCGCCATGGGCTGCGACCTCCTCGTCCACTACGCCCACAGCTGCCTCATCCCCGTCGACGTGACAAAGATCAAGACCCTCTACGTCTTTGTCGACATCAGCATCGACACCTCCCACCTCCTGGCCTCGCTCGAGCGCAACTTCGCCTCGGGCAAGACCGTCGCCGTCGTCGGCACCATCCAGTTCAACGCCACCATCCACGGCGTGCGCGGCACCCTCGAAAAGGCCGGCTTCAAGGTCCTCGTCCCGCAGATCGCGCCCCTGAGCAAGGGCGAGATCCTCGGCTGCACGAGCCCGCAGCTCCGCGACGACGACAAGGTCGACATGATCCTCTACCTCGGCGACGGCCGCTTCCACCTCGAGAGCATCATGATCCACAACCCCACCATCCCGGCCTACCGCTACGACCCGTACTCGCGCAAGCTGACGCGCGAGACGTACGGCCACGACGAGATGCAGGACCTGCGCCGGACCGCCATCCGCACGGCCAAGACGGCCAAGAAGTGGGGTCTCATCCTGGGCTCGCTCGGCCGCCAGGGGAACCCGCACACCATGGGCCTCATCGAGAAGCGGCTCAAGGACCGCGGCATCCCGTGGGTGAACTTGCTGCTCAGCGAGATCTTCCCGGGCAAGCTGGCCATGATGAGCGACGTCGAGTGCTGGGTGCAGGTCGCGTGCCCGCGGTTGAGCATCGACTGGGGCTACGCTTTTCCGAGGCCGCTGCTGACGCCGTACGAGGCCTTGGTTGCGCTAGAGGTGCGCGATGATTGGGGTAAGGGGGTGTATCCCATGGACTACTATGGAAAGGATGGTCTCGGACGCGTGAAGTCTGGCCAGCTTGAGGCATCGGCATAATCATCTTCAGGGGGAAGGATGAGGAGGAAGAGAGACACGAGAACAAAAGTTTATGGTTTGCATAGGAGCACGCAATGATACCTCTTTCGATGTAATCTGGAAAATGTCCCAGACAAGGATAAGCACATGACATCTTTTTGCTTCCCTGTCATTGACATAAGGGAATTCTTCAAATCACTTATACAGGCTTGGGAGCTCAAACTCAACTAACCCAGACTCCCTTATAAATGTGCCTCGCCCATTCGAAATGGTGTTGTTCGCCGGAAATCTAAGAGAGCTCATGTCTACCCAAGTCTGCACATTGATGGGTATTTGAGGTATTATACATGCGCAAACAGGGGGTTAGTGAAGAGCTCTTAGTGAAATGCACTCGAGGTCTAGAGCCGCCAAAGTTTTCGGTTTGCTTTCTTGTTGTCCCAGGTCCTTCGAGTCTCACCCTTTATTCACTCGAAAGAACTAAATCTGAATTTACTCCGTACATCTTGACCTAATAGAAAATGTTAATTGGTCATCAATCCTCTTTGTGATCTTCTTTCAACGTCTCGATTTTACCAAGAGGTGATCCTAGGCGAAACAACCAATAAACCCGTTCGGGGACGATGTTTTTGAGACCTGCCGCATCTAGTTAATTCACCCATTCGTATTGCTGCTGGTACATTTGGCAGCTGATTCTACGCTAAATACCTCGCTACGCCGCCTGCATGCGGTGCTGGCAAGGGCATCTCAACCGTGTCCTTTGTCCGCTTTCTTTCTAGAACACGAGTCTTCAGCGGTAGGGCTGAAGTTGCCAACCAAAAGCGTACTTCCTACAAAGATTCAGATTATTACGTTGGTCGATCATTCTTGGCGAACGATACCCTATATCCAAACCTGGTCAGAAATCTTGCCACTCAACATTCATTGCTGTGCCCCAAAAGTTCCAGGGGTGACATCGTTGGCGAGTTCGTACTTATCCCTGGAAGTCCCGCACCAGCACTCTTCTCCCTCACCTTATTTGCGATAAGGTGAGGCCGGAGCGCCAGCACTCTCCAGGATACCACCGCACCCTTCCGAATAGGGCCATTTGCACCGTTTACGTTGGTGCGCAACGTCGCCAAGAACAGGCATGTCTTGAATGCGTTCTGCTGATTGGTTCATTCTTGTCGACTCGTCTGGGGAACTTCCTGTTAGAACTACTACACTGGCATTGCTTAGCCTCAACCTTCAACTCCCGACTCGCATCAAACAGCTCGCTGCCTAAGTCAAATGAGGGGAAGGAACTAGAAGAGGAACACATCTCGTTATCAATCGGCTTCCGCCGTCGAGGAGCGACATCGCCCACGTCGTCTTCTCGTTTCCGCACATCATAGGATGGCCCGCAAAGGCAGTCGCAAGACAAGGACCGGCTGTATTACCTGCAAGTAGGCAACCCGCATAGATTCATACACCCCCTTTTCCATACAGCAAGGTTTGCATTCCTTTCTAACAATCACCACCACCGGAGCAGGGTCCGAAAAGTCAAGTGTGACGAGGCCAAGCCCGAGTGTATACGGTGCTCCAGTACCGGCCGTACATGCGATGGCTACGTGGACCCGGCCCAAGCCGCCGCATTGGATCAGCCCCGGCTGCTCAGGGCCCAGAGCATGTTCCCGAGCATCAACAGGCAGGAGAGCAGGGCGCTGCACTTCTTTTGCGAAATGGTCGGGCCGAACCTGCCCGGCGCCACCGACCCTTACTTCTGGACGCACCTCGTCATGCAATTCAGCCGGTACGAGCCCGCGGTGAGGCATTCCATCGTCGCCATCAGCTCGCTGTACGAGGGCGTCACCCGGGTCCAGGGTAGCCCCTTTGACGTGGGAAGCGAGCAGATCCAGGATAACGCCCTCGCTCTGCGTCACTACAACGCCGCAATTAACCAATTGACGGTCATGGAGAACCAGGGGCTGGTGCTGCTGGTTTGTCTCCTCTTCATTTGTATAGAATTCCTGCAGTCCAACCGGGAGACTGCCCTCCGTCACTGCGCTCACGGCACTGCCATACTCGCCAGCTCCGACTCTACCTCGTACAAGTGGGTGAGGCAATACCTCACGCCATTGTTTCGAAGATTGAGCGCGTTGCCCTTCTTCTTTGGGAGCGGACCATCGGATATGCTCGATCTGAGCATTTCGAGATGCCCGATACCGGACTTTTTCAATACCTTCTCCGAAGCTGAAGCCATGATTGACGACGTTTTCAACCAAGCGTTGCAAGCTATCCGCCGCGGTGACACATATCGCGTAGGACAAAAGAAAGATGTTCCAGTACCAGCAGAACTTCTAGAGGAACAGGACACAGTCTTAAACCAACTAAATCAGTGGTACGGCATGTTCACAGACCTCGAAGCCCGACGGGGGCAAACGACATTCAAAATCTCGGGGTTCGCGCGCGCATTCGCTCTAGCGAGGTATCGGATCTGTCTGATCTGGTTGAACAACGCCTTCGTCCGTTCCGAGATGGGCTACGATGACTTCCTCGACGAGTTCCGCAAAGTCGTCGAGGAGACGGCGCAAGCCGCCGCGGAACAAAACAGTACAGAAACCAAAACCGCACCCGCCTTCGAAATGGGCTTTATCGCGCCGCTCTTCTTCTGCGCACAGCGGTGTAGGGACCTGGGTTGCCGACTAGAGGCCCTGCGTCTTCTCAAACTTCTCGCCGCGCCCCGAGAGAACTTGTGGGATAGGGACGGCATGTGCGCTCTGGCTCGGAGAATCATCGAAATAGAACACGGGGTGGAATTGAATATGGACGGTCGGGTTACGCCAGGAGTCCATCCTAAATATCCGGGCCTACCACCGGAGACGACGAGGATACAACAATTCAACGTTGAATTCGTGAGTGGACGACAAAATAACTTGAACGGCCACGAAGCACGCGGCTTCAAGGCTCAATTATATATGCGGAGCGCGAGCGGTGAGATCTATCTTCGGCCCGAGACCTTATTTGAGGAGGACCCTCAACTGTCTGACGATGTGAGCCAAGAGCACATAGGGGCAGTCCTTTTCCCATAGCCCGCGAAGGTGTTACATGAACAAACCAAATAGAAACACAAACAATGAACTTATGCCCCTGCCCAAGAGCTCTGACACAATGACAAGACAGCTGGCACTTGAGAATACGAAGCTGGATCTGTCAGCTTATTGTTAATGTACGACTTGAACGATCGGAGCTAGTTGACTCAGGCCGGGTGATTAAAATGCTCGCACAGCATGGGCTGAAATAATTGCATGGCGGTTTTCGTATCGAAATCACCATATCGAGTTGAGCGCGTGCTAAGGGCATATTGCGCGTATCGTAGAGTTTTAAATTATACCGCATCGTATAATTTCCCTTAATAGCCTGATCCCGTTCAGGTCGATCTTTTGCGCCTGTAAAGCCGGAAAAGAACCACCACATGGGCTGAATCAAGACGTTTTTTTATTGGAAACATCCACATCACAATAAACACGGCATTCTGTTTTCTCAAAGCTGATAAGGCTTATCATTACGTAGAGTTAGCTGTCGCTAATGCCAAGAAGGCATGCTAAGTGCGTATTCAGACTCAATTTTGCCCTCATTACTTTGCCTCAGCTAAGCTTTTGACAATCACGGTTGGTGCAAAGCCCACCCGACACCCCTTCACCTATATCACTAACTAGAACAGCTTCTTGCTCTTGCCAGACCCCAAGGACCGCCTTCTTCTACAGGGAGCCGCAGTCGTGTTCTTCAATGCCTCGAGAACGCCATCATAAGCCGGGTGCTTGCTAAAGTCCTCGAACCAGAGAAGGGCAGCACCCTCACCCGGGAAGACGGCGGGAACCCAGCTGAAGGGGTCGTAGAAGTCCCAGATCGTGATGCCAATGCAAGCCGCTACTTGAAGACAGGCACTGGTAGACTATAGCCGAGTGAGTTAGCGTCTTGAATGCATCCAAAGATGGGGTGGGTGACGGGGTAAACCTACGTTCTTGTACGCCTCCTTCTGCCACGCCAGGTTTGTCTCATTTACCGGGAGCTCGACACGGACATCCAGCTCTGTGAGGGCAACCTCGACTCCGAGCTCGGCGTAGCTGCGAATGACCTCGACTTGCTGGTCCAGGCTAGGCGCCCTATCAGCTACGAGGTGAGCTTGCATACCAATGCCGTCGACCTTGATGCCGTCGTCCTGGAGCAGCTTCACGATGCGCTTGGCGCCCTCGCTCTTGGGACCGACCGACTCGAGGTTGTAGTCGTTGTAGTACAGCTTCGCCGCCGGATCGACCTCGGCCGCGGTGCGGAAGGCCAACTTGAGGTACTCCTCGCCGAGAACGTTATAGAAAACGGACTCGCGGTAGGTGCCATCCTCGTTGAGAGCCTCATTGACGACGTCCCAGGCGTAGCACTTGCCTTTGTAGTGGCCGGCAACCTCGTGGATGTGTCTGACAATCACCTCGGTGAGCTCCTCGGGCGTCCATGTTGTATTCTCAACCCAGGGGGCGAGCTGGCTGTGCCAGACAAGGGCATGACAGCGGAGGATCTGGCCGTTCTCTTCGGCGATGGAGGTCACGATATCACCCTCTGTGAAGTTGAAAACGCCCGGCGAGGGCTCGGTGAAAAGCCACTGAGTGAGACGTTAGCTTGAGGCGTGCGACTTCTGGGCTACCAGTTCGACACCAACCTTTTGCCCGTTAGTCGGGGTTGTTTGGCCGAACTCGTTGATATCATCGAGGATGGCGTCGTATTGCTCGTAAGATGCTTCCAGACCAGCGCGCTCGCGCTGTCCCGGGGAGTCAGTTGCAGCACCAAAGTACAGCAAGCCTGCTTTCTTCGCGTAGTAGTCAAGCTGGGCCGAGGCTAGGGGCAAGGACGCCGCCAAGAGGGGAACGGTGAGTGATTGGATGTGCATCTTGACCGTCTGGTAACAATGAAACTCGGGCGAGAAACGAGAGAACCTATCTTGAAAGAACGAGGCCGGCGTGGACGAGGGTGAGGTCAATAGGAACACTCCATAACGAGGGCGACGCAATTCATATATGCAAGATCCGGCCCGCGATGCGATTCCGTTTCCCCATGATTACCCCAATTTTCCAGGCGGACGGACGAGAGCAATCTCCAGATCATCCAATGCAACAGTGCTGAGCTACTAAGCTAGCAAGGACTGCCGCCGTGGGGTGACGTCCTCTAAGGGATATGAACCCGGCTTGAACATGTACCGGCGCCTTGGTCCCAAGACCTGCAAGCCTAGGTGACACGGCGTTGGTTGGAAGAGGGAAGGGCTTCGGGATCCAAAGGTCAAGTCCCGTGATGTGGGTACCGGGACAAGTGCGCTGGAAGAGGAGCTCATTCCGGTGAGAACCAAAGACGCGATGGTCGCGGTTGGATAGAACCGGTGGTGCTCTCAATTAGCGGCTTTCAGGGATCGTCCCTGGCATGACCTTCCCCATCTTTTGCTGGGGCGGAATGGGGAACCGTTCAATCAGCCTGTCTGCGGTTAAATTAGAGTTGGATTGTGAGCATTTATCCTAATAGCCTCCTCGGGTAGTCTCCAGAGTCCCCCTCACGGCCGGTGCGGAGGCGTGGAGAATCCCTGACTGTCAGAACAACCTCGACCTCTACGAATATTGTCGAGACCGCTATTAAGTCATTCATTTGGCCGAGCATTCGGCGAGAGCCGAGGCTATCCATGACAGACTTTGACGGTGATGGTGCCAGAATGGGATGAGGTTGCTTGGAACGCATAGTTGTTCAAAATTGAACTGGTCATCAATATGAAGGAAGCTCATCAACAGTGACGAAGACAATGGGCATGGTAACACTAGCGTTGATGCCGACTTCAGTGCCTGGTTTGTATGACCTGCGAGGTCCCTCATGAGGCAACTCAAACCAGAGTAAAGTTAACAGGGCGACCAAGCCTGCTGCGCATTGCTTCCGGAAGCGAGTAGAGAGACCAATAAAATCATGCCTTGGAATAAATTCGTCTGTTTGCCGACGCATGTTTGGAGGTATTTGTTACGGCGGGCCGTCGCCTCTCAATAACCTCGCGGCAGCGGATAACATCTTGTTCGGTTGTTCGTCTCTTTCCCAAATCCTTTATCGCCTCATTGCTTGATGACACATGGACTTTTGACTACGCGATTCTGAAGGGGAGATGCCTAAATGCAAGTAGGGTCTCATTCTTCCGACTAAAATGCCATCAAAAAGACCCGTGTTGACTTGCATCCCTAGAGGAGACCAACAAGCACGCAACCCAATGATGAGACGGAGTAACGGCCACGAAATTCGGAGACTCGTAAACCAAGCGCCAGTTGCCTGTTGCCGCTTATCCAACAAGCAAACAAGTGGCGCTGATTTTGAGAATAACTACCATGAAGCACCGCCAATCAAGGTACTGGGGCAGAACAAGTCGACGGGTTCGGATCATTGATGCTACTCAAGTCAACGTGACTTATTCGAACAAACAGTGATATCTGCGGCACTCGAATGATGTTGCTCAGAAATATGCAACTGCCGAAGATCCGGGGAAGCTGATGCTCGTCTCATTCGTCGCTTTGACCGCAGTCTACCAATGCCTCGAACCGCAACCGTATGATTTGTGAGCCGTAGTTGTCATTCTGTCACAAAGACATACGAGCTTATGAGATGCGCCCCTGATGATCACGCTGACCAGGATGTAGCGGGGATGGATGTGAGGTTGGCAACCTTTGCTAAGAGCTTCATGAGTCAAAGGTGATCTGCCACAGGCTGATCAAGGTGGCATACCAGTCTTACGTTTGATGACCGGCTATGATGGCACCGGAGCCGCCGCAATGAACAAGCGTCACGGAAATATAGACGGCAAGGGATCTGCCGTGCCAGTCATAGTTCTCCTGGTCCGGAATCGTGGCAACAGAACAGGATGAACGCCGCAACCGCTATCGTCCTTGGTAACCATCGCCCTCTCGCCACATCATGACTAGCCCCGTCGGTGTGGGTGTCATTCTTCAAAGATCGCCCTGGCGGCCTCGAACTGTCGATAACGCAGACGTCTCCTATGTGTTTTCCGTACCAACGGGCTCTGGCCGGTTCCCAAACATGATCTTGTACTTGACGATCTCAGCAATCTCGAGCTCCTCCTCAGCCTCTCCTTCACCGCCAGTGATGGCATCTCCCTTCCGCCGGATAATAGCCATGGCCTTCGGAAGCTTCTTGACCTCGCCCTGCAGTCTCTGATGCTGGCCGACATAGAGGAAGACGCGCTTCATCCAGGCCGTGCTGCCCTCTTCCTGCGTTTCGGGGTGATAGTCAGGGAATATCACTTTGCCAATGGCAATCTCAGGCTCCCTTTTGCTGGAACCCTCGTCGGGGTTGACGTGAGGCACGTTGACAGTTCCTTGCATCTCAAGCAGCGCAAGTCCAGAGGGTGTCTTGATGAGCGGGGGCAATGGGCTTTCTGAAGCTGAGGAGCCCTTCTTAGGAGGATAGATTTTGACTGATGACATTGTCGCGAGTAAATGTGATGTGTTACTTCAGTTGGCGATATACGTAGAGCAGAACCGTGATTGAGAGGTTGACTGAGTGGCAGGAATGATGTTTTCGTGATACCTTATTGTAGAGGTATGGATGTCTTGATCGCGAATTGTGAAGCGGGACCCTTTGACAGTGGAGTCGTCCATCTGAACGTAAGGTGTTGAACGGCGGCTGTAGTGTGGGTACGTATCCCGGTCCGCGTACCTTCCTAAACGGGATAGACACGTGACCCGGGGCTGTTTAAGCACGGCCCATGGAAAATCTCACCGACAGAACTTCTAGCGGCCTGTGATTGGCCCAGAGATTTTTTTCGCAGCAGGGCTCTAGCGACGCACACATTCTCGAAAATTCAAGAGTAACTTTCCGCTTTTCCTCCTTCCCACTGAACAATCCACGCCCAACGCCCAGCCGCAGTCGACAACACTTGCACCACCCAACGCCGGCAAGATGAAGGTACGATAACACCACATCCCGACAGACGAGAGTGATACAATCGAACGCGATGGAATTGCCATATCAACGACGGCGAGTTCGAATTCGCTGGCGGTCTGATCACCGCCCCGAATATTTGGAAATATTTGGAGGGGGTGGAAAAGTCAGGTTCAAGGTTGCTGACATTTTTTCTTGACAACAGTTGAACATCTCCTACCCTGCCAATGGCAGCCAGAAGCTCATCGACATTGAGGATGAGCGCAAGCTCCGCGTCTTCATGGAGAAGCGCATGGGCGCTGAGGTCCCCGGTGACTCCGTCGGCGACGAGTTCAAGGGCTACATCTTCCGCATCACCGGAGGCAACGACAAGCAGGGTTTCCCGATGAAGCAGGGTGTCATGCACCCTACCCGTGTCCGCCTCCTCCTCTCCGAGGGACACTCCTGCTACCGCCCCCGCCGCACCGGTGAGCGCAAGCGCAAGTCCGTCCGCGGCTGCATCGTCGGCATGGACCTCTCCGTCCTCGCCCTCTCCATCGTCAAGCAGGGCGAGGCCGACATCCCCGGCCTCACCGACGTCGTCCACCCCAAGCGCCTCGGCCCCAAGCGTGCCACCAAGATCCGCAAGTTCTTCAGCCTCACCAAGGATGACGATGTATGTGTGCTCCCTGTTGCGGTCCACCCTTCCAACAGCCACTTCGTCATCGCCTACCTGGTTCTGCGGCGGAGGGTCGAGCAGACCAGGTAGAGTGTGAGAGACGGGACCGTGTTTCCCCTCTGCCTTCGAACTTCTTCTTTCATCAGACGATATCTGTTGAATGCCTTGAGAAAGTGCGCCAGATATATCAGAAAACGAGAGAGGGAGAGAGAAGGAAGAGGTGGGAGCATGTGTCGGGCTTTAATCCCAATGCTATACATATCACAGATACCCTTGGCAAGTGGCTAACGAGGCATTCTTTGCTGCAACTTATAGGTCCGCAAGTACGTCATTCGCCGCGAGGTTCAGCCCAAGGGCGAGGGCAAGAAGCCTTACACCAAGGCTCCCAAGATCCAGAGACTCGTCACCCCCCAGCGTCTCCAGCACAAGCGCCACCGCATCGCCCTCAAGCGCCGCCAGGCCGAGAAGGTCAAGGACGAGGCCGTACGTTTACCCCCTATACATCCCATCTCGATACTTGAAGTCATACTGACCCCCTATCCAGAACGAATACGCCCAGGTCCTCGCCAAGCGTGTTGCCGAGCGCAAGACCGAGAAGGCCGAGCTCCGCAAGCGCCGTGCCTCTTCCATGCGCAAGTAAACTTGTCGTCATGGCGGCGGTGTTGCGTTGGGAATCATGAAAAAAGTGAAAGATTACTCGGGCCTTCTGGTTTTCTTGCATTGGCGTGGAAAAAGGGAAATGGGGCACTGGGAACTCATGTCATGAAACAAGTTTTCAGTCAACATCATGAATGTAATAGGGCATTCAAAAATGGAAATGCACATCCTTTTGACACGCGAAATACCACCAGCAATTGTTTTATGATGTTAAACAAGATTGATGCCCTCCTTGCATGTGCCATACGTCCACCTACCAATCAGCCTACTGTAACTTCTATAGTCGATACCCATCTCTGGCACATACTACTGGAGTACCTATGAGCTCTTAAAGACAAAAAGTCCTCTCAGCCCTGCCCCGCACAAGATTCTGGGGTTGGACCATCTAGATTTTCGTTCTCTTCCGGAGCGGGGGTCTATCAACGCTTGGTCTGGAGCTGGCATCAAGGCAGACCCACCGGACCCTGTGAATCTTTGGCACCGCCAAATGACCGTAGAACTAAGGTATGTCACGCCTCATGTATGGAACAAATAGAGACATCACATATACACGTAAGCGATTTCCATAGAGAATCCATTTCGTTCTTTTGTTTCAAGTCTGCCGCTAAAGCCGAACTTTTCTCTAAAAGCAGGTCTTCCTGCCGGATTTAAAAAAGGAAACCCGCAAAATGCCCGTTTGTACCGTACGCCCACCCTAATTTTGGAAAAAGGAAACCCCTCCCCCAATATGCCATGTGAAAACCCTCGAGGCTATTGCTGCTGCTGCTAGCTAGACTTGCTACTTAAAACTCTCGAAACCCTCCATCACGGAACCCCTCTCTAGACGGGAACGTGGTTGAAGAGGTAGCTGACGCTCTCGCCGTTGTGGGTGCGGCGGATGGCCTCGCCCAGGACCTGGCTGATGTCGATGACGCGCAGCTTGGGGCAGCGCTCAATCTTGTCGCCGAGGGGCACCGTGTTGGTGACGACGACGCGGGACAGGCAGCTCTTGTTGAGCGTCTCGACGGCATTACCGCTGAGGACGCCGTGGGTGACGATGGCGATGACTGTTTTATTGTCCACTGTCAGTGCATGGCTCTTCACGTTATGGATACTAAAGATGACGTACCTTCACGCGCACCGCCGGTCTCGAGAGTCTCCGCAGCCCTGTGGCAACTGTTAGTGGTGCCAAAGCATCATTTCACGATGGTTATACGAACTTGGCGAGGGTGCCGCAAGTGTCAGCCATGTCGTCGACCAGAATGGCAATCTTGTCAGTGACGTCTCCGACGAGAATCATGCGGCCGACAACGTTGGGGCGCGGGCGCTCCTTGTGGATGAGGGCGAAGCCGGTCTCCAGGCGATCGGCAATACCGGTGGCACGCTTGGCGCCGCCCGCGTCGGGACTGACGATGACGCAGTCCTCGACGTTCATGTTCTGTCTGATCCACTGGAGGACACTCGGCTCGGCGTACAGGTTGTCGACGGGGATATTGAAGAATCCCTGGATCTGCGAGGCGTGAAGGTCCATCGTGATGACGTGGTTCTATGTTTGCGCCCATGAAGTCAGCTTGGGATGCTCTCCCTCTATCCTTCGTCTCTCTTTCCTTCCCCCGCAATAATTTCGGAGTACTTACGCAGCCGGAAACCTGCAGCATGTTCGCGACAAGCTTGGCGCTGATCGGGGCACGACTCTTGTCCTTCTTGTCCTGTCTAGCGTAAGGGAAGCAAGCTGTGTGTGTATGTCCAGTCAGCGGGCGCCCTTTCCCAACAATGCGACATCCCTATTGATCGTTCGGAGGGTAGACTGACGGATGACGGCGGTGATTCGGCGGGCAGACGCGGTTCTGCAGGCGTGGATCATGATGAGAAGCTCCATCAGTCCGTCATTGATGTTGCCGGGCTCGCTGGACTGGACGATGAAGACATCCTCATCGCGGACGCTCTCGCCAACGGTGACACAGTAGAGAAGTCAGCTTTACAGGCCACTCAACGACCGGAGCCTGCCGGGGCTCAAGAGATTGTTCGCTAACCTCGTCTCTTGGTTGGAGTAGTTCAAGCTGTAAAGGCGCAAAAAGCGGTCAATTGTACTGTTCTCCAAAGAAAGTCGCGCCCGCGCCCGAAGGGCAGGTCTTGGAGACAGGCGAAAGCTTACCTCATGGTCTTCGCAAGGGGAATGCCCAGTCTGCAATATTCGCAACCCTACGTCAGCGACCGCTACTTCATGCTCCATTTCTCTATGCCACGGAGAATTCATACCGCTGAGCGACCTTCTCGGACAATTCCCCATGGCTGCTGCCCTTGAGGAGCTTGATGTCGTTTGCCATATCCCCCATGAGGCCGGTCGATGTGTGACGACAAGGGGAAAAAAAGGGAAAGAAGGATTTCGAGGAGGGGCAATCGGCCGACTATAAAGGGGTTGCTGCTGTTGCTGCGGCACCTTGCTGAGGTTTGGCAGGCTAAGGTACGGTCGGGTTTGTCTGGACGAATCGAATCGCAGCGCGGGGTCACGATGGAGGGGTATGGCTATCGGTCGGTCGGTGTGGTGGTGTCACACACACTATGGTCGAGGTCGATTTGGGAGGCCTTTTTGGTGGTGATATGCGGTTGAGTGAGACAGCGGGATTGCCTTTTACGTGGGGTTGCAAGAGCAAAGAGTCTGTGAACAGCTTTCACCGTGAGTAATGGCTGGGTCGGGTCTATCGTGTGCCTGTCCACTTGAGTATTCGCACCGGCTGGGATCGGAGTAGACTGCTTGGGAAAAAAAGTACGAAAAAAAACTAGTGCTTTGTCGGCGTTGTTCCGCAATCCCTGAGAGGTCAACATTATGTGGAGAAAGGCATGGATCCGTCCTCGGCTCTTGCTTTACTGGCGGACCTTGGCCTCTCGAAGCCTCTGTATTAGCTACCTTCCTTGCCTCATCCATTGGCATATGCGACTAGCCAACATACCTACCCATGGAAGAATTCCTCCTTATGTAACGACCAGAGGACCTTTTGAATTAGACTCGGCCATCTTGATGATAGAATTCGGAGTGGATTGATAGTTGGACCAACACCTATAACAGCCGCAATGCATGACCTAGATGCACCAGTTTAGTGCTGTCTATGGTTCAGTTTGCCAATTACCTATAGAATATTTCTATTTTGGCCCACAGCCTACCCAAGAGCAAGCCACGGAGCCAAGACAGAATGTTCATTTGGACTTTCCCCTTTAGTATTCATGTGTTCATAATCATCTGACGAGCTTCGAATTGGATACTCTACATACTGGACCTCCATACCATCATCAGCCAGCTGAAGTTCCAAGCGGCCTGCACTCCGCATAGGACCAACCGACGATGCGTAATATGAAAAGGCCTCAAAATCGAAAGAGGATGAACGCAAGCAGACCTGACCTGGTACTTCCTAGGCCAAGGCCGGAAGAGTCGCCATAAGTATGTACATGTGGTTCGGCATTTATTCACAATGCCCTCCCACTCAAAAATCACGCCCGTCACCCTCATACCAATGTCCTGTGTCGCCTACCATCCATAATGCAAATGCTGACGTAATCGCAAAACTGTCTATGTTTGCTCGCTCCCTTCTTATGCAAAGCCGAAGTAGTCGCTTCCTGCTGTGATGGCCTTCATGAGTTGTTGACGAAGCATTTCGTAGTTCTCGTATTCAGGGAGATCAAGCTCTGAGACAATTGGTTAGTGGATGCATTTCAAACTTGGTTCCAAGGGATCACGTACGGTTGAAGCATGTGTGCGAACTGGGAAGGCGCTCCTTGTTGCCATAGTCTCGATGGATGTTGAAGCGGTTGATACCATTCATACCCTCCAGCTCCTTGAATCCATTGAGAGGCACCTTACTGGTTCCAGTCACGAACTGCAATAGCTTGGCGCGCTCCTCCTTGTCGAATGAACGGATCGCTCGCCAGAACCATTGGATCTGCGGTGATGACGGAGTGTAGTTGTGGTATTCCGTGTTGCTCTTCCAGTCGTCAACGTCAATGTCGGGCAAGCCGGAGATGAGAAGTTCCAACTCCTGCTCGTTGAAAATGGAGATGAGATCCGCGGGAATGATATCATGGAATCCTAGTACAATAGTTAGCAAAATGACTTCTTTTTCCAGTCTTGCTTGGGTGATCTGACTTACCCTTCAAGAAGTGTTCCATCTGTTCCTTAACAGATGACAGCAGCTTGTGCTCCACCACCAATCGCACGTAGTCATGCTTGTTTTCCTCGGTGACGGCGATGTCACGACCGCCGGGGCAAAGGTCAACAGTACGAGTCACGCCAAACTCATCGTCTTCCACCGAGAACGTCTCTGTGATGATGTCCGTGATGTCATTATCGAGCATCCACACCAAAGACTTGTAGTAATCCGGATCGAAAGATTCCATGTCCTTGACGGATACCGACTTGCCGAGAATACGCTTGTACACAGCGCGGCTGAAGTAACAGTCGAGAACCCGACCCTCATACAAGGCCTTTCCGATGATACGACCAATGAACTTGAAGAACATGAGATGCTCGTCGTTGATGCCACTCAACTTGTTGGGGTGGAATGTGGTACGGTCAGAGGAGACCGGAATGAAGAGAGCATAGTTGGCATCGAACATTTGCCTGGACAAAACCTGGAACCACTCGCGGGTTACACCTCCGGCGTCGACACCCTCCTCATTGTGGAAGCGAATGTTGAGCTTGCCATACTTCATCTCGTCGCCGGTCTTGAAGTAAAGCGACTTGAAGGAGTCGTGGAACACATGCTCGCGACGTACTGAGAGCTGCAATGCAGGGAACGACGGCCGTTGATTGTTACTGGAACGGCTGTGAACACTACGGTTGAAGTAATTGCGCTTGTTGTCGAACTCGAGAACCTTTGGATTCTTGACCAGAAGCGAAAACGTTCCGGACATGAGCTTCGGACTGTTGCGGACCAGCTCATTGAGGATGCGACGGTGGTCCTCGGTGAAGGTGAAGAAGAGGCCGGCCATGCGATTCTCCGGGGGCGGGCTTGATAACAGCATCTCCTTGCTTGTCTGGTTCTGAGTCTGTGAGTCGTCGTTCATAGCGGTATTCTTGCAGACGACCATGAGTGATTCTATCAGTGGCAGAAGGATCGTCGCTACGTTAACCATGTTCTCCCGCTCACGGATAGCGCTGAGGCAGGCGCTCAGTTTCTCCCACATCATGGAGAAGGTCGAGTTGTGGTACAGTGAAGTAACGAGATCCTGCTTTTCGTTGATGCTGGTCTCGGCATCTTCGTCCGCCTTGTCACTCTTCTTCTTGTTGTCGAATAGGTGATCGAGCGCCGTGAGGACACGGAGGAGCTTGTTCTGCTCAGAAGCACCGGGAGAAAACTTGGCAAGCGCAACACCTTGAATCTCGGTTCCCGACGTAGCCTTCTCAATATGAGGAAGCAGCTCATCGAGATCCGCGACAATGTTCTCACTCAAGACACGAGCTTGACGGACTAGTTCCTGTCCAAATGTTGCCTTGGCGCCTGGAATAGCAGACAAGTTCTTGATAGCTGAGATGGTGTTTTGGAACGTCTTGGAGCTACATTCCCGAGCAACAAAGATCTTGACCACAAGGGTAAGATTGTGCGGCGGGATGATCGGAACCTGCATTTGGCGCGGCGCTTTTTGGGTTGTCGACTTGTCGGTGGTCTTCGCATTCTCGGCACTTTCACCCTTGGGCTCCTGGGCTTCCACGTCGGCGGCAGTCTCGACGTTTGCGTTCTCAGCAGGTTGGGCGGCTGAGGCCGAAGCGGGATTGGCTTCCGCTGCACTTTCCGCTGCCTTCTTCTTGGCCTCCCGAGCAGCCTTCTCTAGCGCTTCCCGACGGCGTCGCTCCATCGTAGCCAGTGGTACCGTGATCTTATTCAGTAAATCGGCGAGGTAGGCCATAACCACCGAGCTCTCCATTACCAAATCTCTGTCGAGAAGAGTGAGGAGTGAGTTGATTGCATACTTGTGGGCCTTGGAGTCTTTGGCCTTGCCCTTGCGGCTGAGTGTACGCTTGAGGGAAGATCCGACCGCCTCATGCTCTGTTAGGAAGAGCATGGGGATGTGAGGGTTCTTGGTGGAGAGATCTTGCAGAAGATCCAAGCACTGGTGGACGACCATGAGTGGTGATATCTCCGAGTTGGACTGCTGATGCGCAGCAGCGCTCAGCGACGTCAGAGTCCGCTTAAGGTTCTGAGGGGTCTTGGGGTCTGCGTCCTTATCCTTAGACTTCTTGGCCTTCACAGAGAGTTGGCTGAAGCTGCGCTCAACAGCTTCCATATCTGTGCTTCCTTCTTGTAGAATCGAGAGAATGGTGCTGATTACTTCGAGGCGATTTTGGCGGTTTTCGCAGACGTCGGCCAGAACACTGAAGAGGTAGTTGCGGATAGAGCCGATCTGGGAAATGAACATGAGCCGAAGCAGAGTAGCAACTCCTGGCTTGTCCAGCATCTGCACAACTGTCCGCCGCTGTACCTTGTTCTCATTGTTTTCTCCGGATTCGACAGGCGGAGCACCTGGTCGTCGAGCAACGACAGGAGGGCTTCTGCCTGTGACAGCAGGGTGAGCGCTGTGTTGCTGGGCGAGCAGACGGGCCTGAGCGGCCATTTCAGGAGGCAAGTGGTCCATTATGTCCTCTCCTTGATCCATGAGAACCTGCTGTCGCAACTCAGGAGGGAATGTCAAAAGGATGCTTGCCGGGTCCATATCCACTGCGATCTGGTCTTGGCCCGCGGTTGTCGCCTGGCGGCGCTGCTCATCTCTCTCTCGCCGGCGCGCATCCTGACGTTCTTGTTGAACGATTTCTAGTCGCAGATCCTCCGGGAGAGCGTCGAGGAACTCTTGGAAGACTTCGCCCTGTTCGCCAGTGGCAGCCTCCTCTCGAGCTTGAGATCTTCTGGTGCTGACCGTTTGTGCGATGACTTCTTCTCTGAATTCCTCTGGTAGAGCCGCCAAATAATCAGGGTCAATACCGAGTTCAGTGACGTCGACTTCCTCTCCACGGATAGTTGTCATGACGCGACTAGCGTCGTCTGCCGTGTCTTCGGCCAAGGCCGTAGACGGCTCTTGTGTTTCGACCCCTTCCATGGCTTGCGAGCCAGCATTGTCAGTGTGGCTTTCTTGGGTTGATGCCAAATCACGCTCTCCGGCGGCAGCAGCGGCCTCCGCAGCGGCACGCTCTTGTTCTTCGCGCTCTTCCGCTTCTTTCTTTTCACGGGCTGCCTTTTCGTTGGCTTCCTTGGCCTCCAAGAGCCTCCGAGCTTCCTCTTCAAACTTTCTGCGCTCCTCTTCTCGCACCTTACGTCGCTCCTCTTCTTCGGCCTTGAGCTTCTTCTCATACTCCATTGCGGGAGGAACCAGCTTGGAGAGAAGGATATTGACGAGCTTCTGTGCTTTCTCGATGAAGTGAGCCCCGCCGAAAACCATGCGAGCTTCTTCTTGGTAACGCTCGAATGTCGATTCGGGGGTAAAGGCGACGGCCTGTTGAGGCTCGTGGTAAGTCGTCTCACGACGGCTGTCTGCCCGAGACTCGCGAGGGGCAACATGGTACTCCCTGACTTCGCCGCGTCCATTTTGAGTAATGGACAAGTGGACGGCAGATTGACCGTGTCGCATGACCGGAAGAGACGCGACGAGATCGTTGAGAATAGCGATTGGGCTGTTAGACAAATGCTGTACACCCGGACCAAAGATTTCAGGAGGCAGACGCAAGCCAATCATACCAGAACCCGGCGCAGGGCGGGGTGATGCTTCACGGCCCTGGCCGTTTCGGCGCAGAAGAGGATTGACCCCGTCGTCGGCATTGTTAGGCACGGCATTCGGTCTGTGGCGGGGAGAGAAGTAGCTTCGGAAATCTGCAGGGCCTGTCAGCTGTTCGTT